TGGTGCAGACAATGATTATATTAATAGATATCACGTCATTTCCAGGACAGATATATGTATAGGTATTGATAGAGTCATCAATCATGATCAATCATGATCGAACATGGTCGAGCAGTACCCCTACTCGAGCATAATCTGATCCAGTGACCCTTATGATCGAGGGTGATCGAGCATGACCTGCTCGAGCAAAACTCGATCATGATCTGATCGTGGCCATCACTAGTGTCGGATTCAGATTGAGCCTCAATATGCCCGCCTTCTTCCAATAGTCGCTCAACAACTGTCCGCTGCCCAAGCCGCGATGCTATCATCAAACCTGTGAAGCCAGGGGGGAATGGACGATACCAGCCACTATCACCACAGTACACTCTAAGCCATGTCAGATATCTATTAGGTCCGACCTTGCACATCTGCCGTGTAAACTCAAGTAACTTCTGATGTCGACCGCGCGAATCTCGAAAGTGATCTACCAAGTATGTAGCTGCGTAATCAAGAAAGGCATATTTCTGGAGATAATCATCAACAGCCTTCTTTTCTATCCTACCATAAGAATCCATCGATAATGGGTCGTCTTAAAATTGGCCTAGCGAGAGATAGGAGACACAGAGGTCAGCCATTATAAAGTTGGAATCCTGCAGACACAGTGTACTGCCATTTCCCCCAACCAGGCAAAGATCCCTTAATCAGGAACTCCCTTGCAGTTTGGTGGACGAGGTGGACCTTCGAATCAATAATCCGTACGAAAAGCCCACAACAATTTTTCAACGTCTTTCCGATACCACTGGGGACATCCCCGACATCCTTCACCGAGTTGTGTTCCCGCCTAACTCTGAATGCGGCATACATTTCTCGAAGCGTCAGGGGCCTAGAGGCTACTACCACAATACTCAAGATTCGTCGGGGTCTATCAGGGTCTTGGCTTCTATCAAGAATGTTGGTGTATAACCCGGCCAGATCGCGCGGAAAAGTGGTGGCGATGTTGAATTCCTCTGGCGAGCCATCAACACTATCCCGCAAAATATCGAGAACAAGGGAAGCCCAAAGGAACGTCCGGTCGGAGGACGAAAAGAGGAGGTTGCGTAAATCTTTCAGTCCCCCATGATTTCCCCAAATCAACTCGAGCTCCTTTATCCCATTACCTAGAACGCGAGTAACGTCAAGAACAAGAGCCTTGATTTCATCTTCGCCTTTCAGCCGGATCGCCTTTTCTGTCGAGCTAAGTTCTCTCTCGATGCGGAGGTATGGCCGGCTTGTAACAAAGAATTTCAAGGGAGCACCGGAAGTCTCTGGTCCAGGGAGGCGGGTTATGTGACGGATAAGCGGAGTGAGAGTCACCTCATCGCACTCGTCCAATGCATCCACTACACAAATTACATCGCCGCCACCCCCCCCCCCCCCCAGCCGCAGCATTAACTAAGATATCCCACAACGTATCTACCTCCTCCGTAAACCTCTTGCCCCTAGCTATGGACGCTTCAACAGCGTACATGGAGAGGGATTTACGCTGAGTAAAAAGGTGATGAAGTATGGCGAAGAGGGCAAATGTTGCGCTCCGTTGTTCCTCGCTATCGTCCTTAAAAAAGAAGTAGCAAATGATGCCGTCCGTGTGGATTCCCAGATGTGTTACGAGGAATGAAGCAATGACGGATTTTCCACGGCCTGGATCAGCCGACAGCCAGAGGAGGCCTGATGATTTTTTCTTCAACCAGTCTTCATACTCAGAAGGTCCGGTAACCATGTGCATGTTCCCTCAGTCGGCTCGCGAACCCGGGCCCGGTGCTCCTCGTAATGCGACTTGTGTAGAAGTTGCAAAACCTCTGCATGCTGATCCATATTGGTATCACGGAAGTTGTGGATGGTGTTGGAATTGGAGCCGCTGGAGTTAAAATAATTGTGGGAAGTGCTGTTATAGCCAACCTGAGTGCCGATATTTCCACTCGCCGCAGGGCCAGAGCTATTACTCGCATCAGTGGGCAGAAGCGCCGATAAACAAAGCGGGGCTCTAGGGACCTACGCTTGGTCTCCGAGCATAGTGGTTGATTGTAGATTGCCCACCCTATCACTCTATTGCTGGATTGCCAGAAGCTATGTTTTATCGGCGTAAGGGGGTGATTCACCGATGCTCGAAAAGGTGATGCTAAACAAGGTGAAGATGAAGGGAAGAAGCAAGAGGGTTGGGGGACGTACTATTAGTCTCGGGTGCCCTCGAAACTCGCCGACTTTGCCCACCCCACACAACCCAATCTCTAGGGCCACACCAGCACCCACCACTCTCCTCGAAACGCCTATATACCTTATCGGCAGACCCCGTCTCCCCGAGCCCCCCTTCCAGTGTGCCCACAACTCGGAGAACATAGCCCCTTCTGCATCAAGATTTTTATGGGATCGGTAGTACTGTACTATGATACCTGCCTACATTCCGCCAGCCTTGTCCGGGTTATCCCGGCCTGCGCGGGGTGGGAGTAACCTCGCAGCAGGTAAGAAAGGGAGCCTCATATTAGATTCCGAGCACTGGGCAGCTGCTCCAGTACAGTAGATACCTTACTGGATAATCCGAACATCAGGTTCTTCCGCACGGTATGATACCCTACGTCCGCATAATACAGAACAGATGTGCGCATCGCATCCCGAGAAGTCTGAGTGCAAACTTAAGGGAAAGCTAAAAACTGACCCTAAAATCCCCCATCTTATTTGTTGAAGTCTACGTTGTGATGGCTGGAATTAATGAGATGAAGTGATGATGTTGTTATTGTATTAAGAAAGAAAGAAAAGTATGAAGGGACGGAACCAAAGTATTGGAAGAAGGAGAAAGGAAATCATCGTTCCTCAGACAACCCAGGCCAGCGCTTTTGTGAGGACGTAATCCTCAATGCACACATTCCATCCAGTAAGACTGTCCACAATAGCTCCAAGTCCGCGCACTTCCGATCCCAATTCCGCATACATATCAACTCTTTCAAAATTAATTGACTATTAAAGCTCGCCTTTTGCAGAATACACCCCTCGAACACTCAGGCTATTGAATAAGGAAGCACCCTGTCTCCCATTAGACAACCCAGCTCAAGCACATGGTTTGTAGCGCTAAAGGTAAGCTCCCATTTAGGTACAGTATGATTATTTTATTTCTCATTTGCTCCCTTTTAATCCCTTCGCTCTACTCGTACTTTCCTTCATATTTGTTCGGCAATTTTTTTCTCATTAAATTTTCATTCTCCCTCTTTAAAACATTTACAACTAATTTAGTTTTTTCCTCGCCTTCAAAAAGGACAGCTGTGCAACCGGGATCTCCATGCGGGGTGCGTCCCAATTGGCAACCACACCTGCCCCAACTGGACGAAGCTGAAAGGACCTACCGCTACGAGTCCAGTGCTCGTAGGAGCACTCCCGCATATCGGGGGGTACCGGAGGTCCCGTTCTGCTGCAGGATCATCGGAAAAGGTGCAGACTTCCTAACTTCAATTGGACTTGTAACCTTGACCGAATTCAAAATTCTCCGGAGAGCATGGCTCCGGGAGACTACTCTACTCGTACTTGTACTGGAGCACAAGTAAAGGTGGGACCACCTTTAACATAAAAAAGTGACAGTTTTGGATGTAGCCAGGACCGTAAGGCTTCTATTTAAGCTTAGCGAAAAGTGTTAATAATAATATGTCACACTTATAATATGTTAATAATACGAGTTTTCCTGTTCTTTTCATTCCTTAACAACTACAAAACAGGTTAAGCTTGGCTCAAATTCAAGCATCACAGTCCTAGTTACATCCAAGATTATCGTTCTTTTTGTGTGAAAAGTGGCCCCACCTCTAGTCTTCCGGAATCGTAGTAGCTACATCCGGGCTGGCAAGGACCCGAAATTTTTTTGCCGCCCGCGAGCCAGTTTCTGAGGCATCAACGACTAATTTACTCGAGTTGCCGTTTGCCCTCCTTCCTGGGTATCTCCTGTCTCATATCAACGTAGGTCTAGTCATATAGCCAATATCAGCCACGGTCTGAAGTCTACACTTCTAGGAAAATTGACCATTGACAAAATATGGCTCATTAATCTCTGTCTCAAAAACAGTCATCCGCGGTTCAGGGTTTTCAATGACTCGCAGGTCCAAAAACCTGCCCCAAGAGATTTGTCCTCGGTGGGAAAGCTGCATCTTGGTGGAATTTGAAAAGTTCAACTACATACAATCACCTCTCAAAAGTATTGTCCCACTTTCTAAAACCCCGCAAAAAAGTGCATAAACACGGGTAATTAACTAGCCCATTTCTATATAATAAAATATTGTAAAAAAAAATACGGAAATTTTATATAAGTTACTTTTCCCAAATTTATATAGGGGCTTGGCATTCTGTATTAATAATCGGATACAAATAAATCCCAGCTTTGTGAAACAAACGGATAAAATAAATAAAAATCATAAAATAATTTTCCTTTTATCATAAATACCTACTCTTAACAATTTTGAATAATCTTAGATAACTTTCTCTTATTATTTTTTTCAGCTAATAAATATCCCTTAAACGGTGACACATTCAGTCCGGATTGAAATGTCTAGCACTAACCTATTTGGGGAACTGGGAGTAAATCTACCCTGAATTTCTTACTTCGATCATTGCCATACTGAACAGTACAGATTTTGCGGAGTTCTGAGCACTACACCACCTTGGGAGTGGGCGGTTTTTCCTGTCACGATTACCCAAATAAGTTAGTGATAGACATTTGAATCTGGACTGAATGCCTCCCCAGTTTAAGGCGTACAGACTTTTGCGGGAAAACGGGATATGGGACAATACTTTTGAGAGCTGAGTTTACTACTCGTACACTTGTGGAATTAGGAGTTGGGTGGAATTTTGTACTCGTACAGCACATAGAAAATGACGTCATTACTATTTCAGTAGTTCTATGGATAATTGGTATTTTTGTGAATCTTTCCCGGTGGGATATCTCAGCGCGGAATCTGCTATTTTTGCGGTGAGAATGCACGCGCCCACCCACCCCGTGGGCCCCCCGTGTACCCGGGCATACCGCGTCTGCAAAGTTTCCTTAGCGCCCGATGTACCATCCGGTCACTCCAGCCTTACACCAGAAGGTTGCGGAAGTTATTTCCTAGCAAAAAAATTAAATTTGTCTCTCGAGGGAGAGATGTTCCTGCCTTGCTATCTTTGGCCGGAGTTGATGAGTTATCATCCCTACCGGAGAGTGTTGTGGAGAACTTTGCTGTAGGCCTGAGTTCACGAGGGTTGAACTCACAACGGATCCCAGCATACCAGCACGACACCCGAGGAAGGGAGGGTAACTATGATGCCACCGTAGCCACTCTAGCTGGGGCTAAACTATGATGGGCAGGTTCCCTTTTCGGACTGCTTCTCTAAGGTCGCACAAGGGTTCCCCCCTCGTTGCCCCGCTTTGAACTTGCTTTGTTTCCAGCCATCCATCCACTCTCTCCCATCTCGACACCCAACCTTTCCATCTCCTCCCTCCTTCCCCCCTTTCCTCACCATAAATTCTCATCCCACCTCTTTGGTACGCTCATCGAAGTTTCCTTCGCAGAGCATTCCCCCGCAACAAACAAAACACAGAAGCCGGTATTTAGAAATATTCCTTTCCTCCCTCTTTGCTCTATTATTGCGTGCGTCTTTTAGACATGGATTTTTCCCCATCTCCTGTCCGGGGTAGCGCCCAATTTTTAAGCCTCACCTCCGTATTAAATCCTGCGTCCAGTGCTCCGTCTCTTCTCAATCTTGCCGTAAATAACAGTCCAAACAATGGCTACCAAACTTTTCATCAGGTTAGTTCTTACTTACTTCCTTCCCTACATATTGTTTCCCTCTCCGCCCCTCTACCCTCTCCTAAGCTGCAAAAAAAACAACCTGGCTAACGATTGGCGCCTATCTTCGCTGAATTATTACAGATCCCTCAGTTGGAACACCACTGATGCAAGCCTTAGGCGTGGGTTCGAGGCTTTTGGGACCGTTGTTGATGCGGTATGTATTTCTCTTCCCTCTTCGGCTCGGCTATTCTTCCTTCAGCTGATATCTCCCTCAGGTTGTTGTCAAGGATCGTGAGACCGGTAGAAGCCGTGGATTCGGTTTCGTTACTTACGAGGAGGAGTCCGCTGCCAATGATGCCATTGACCAAATGAACGAGGCTGAGTTTGTACCCCCTTTAGCTCCTTTCTGGTGTTCCTCAGTTCCAAGGCTGATTCACAATGCGATTACAATAGGCTTGATGGTCGTCCCATCATTGTCGTCATGGCCGAGGACCGTCGTGGTGGTGGTGGCGGTGGTGGCGGTGGCGGATACCGCGGTAACAATGGTGGCGGTGGTGGAGGTAAGGCTTCAGTTTCCTTCTCTCTCCATCTGGACGCTAATTTGGGATTAGGTGCTTGGAGATAGGTTGGGGGCTGCTTGAGCGTTGATCGCGGGACTGGTTTCTATTCTCGAATCCTCTTACGCTCCATTCCCCGTTTTCCACCCCTCTTCTACGAACGGATGGCCTGTCTACTTAATGTTTCCATGTCTCCCTGTTCTCATTTTTCTCTCTCTAAATAAACTTCCTCGTCCTGGATATCCTATTTTTCCTTCAGTGATTATATCCTATGCACGATTTACCGGACTGATGAACCGCAAACCTTGCCAACAATCCCTCCCCACGCGCTCTCTTGTAGACCATGGAATCAAAACTACAGTGGAGACGATATTTCAACCATTTAACGGCTCTCTTTAGTGTCTTTTTGTTGGATAACAATTCCCCACGCTTCGTAGGCCCTCGGTCCCCCTCTTTTCGTACACTCCCGGTAGGACGAAGCGCAGTATGCTAGATTTCACTCGGGGCGACCCCTTGAAAAGACTGAGGTCACGAAGCAGGGGATTCCACCAGCTGAAAACGCTGCCATACACAATACAGATGTCCCCCTGTAATGCTTCTCCTAGAAGTCCCTGTTCCAAACAAAATGGAGAAGAAGGAAAAAAAATGCAGACACCATGATACCATCGTGCCCACAGATGAAACCAAAAACTTTATTCCTGAGCCCAGCATAAAAAAGTAAGAGCTCTTGTGATTCGCACTCTCCAGAAAGCCTCTTCTCTTCGGATCCAGATACAAAGAGCCCCCCGAAAAGGATCAGCACTTCCCAGATGACAAATCAGTCTAAGGATATGAAGGGGGTGTGGGTAAAGATACCGGCATTTTGTCGTGAATTCCTCGGTTAGATTCCTAGGACCGTCAAGCCACCGGTACCCTTTCCCAACGGGGAAGTACCTCTTACCGCCAACCCGAGTACCCATCCCCCATTCATGACGTCCACCCACCCTCAATCCCCCGGAAACACCAATCCTCCGCTCATTCTTTTCTCTCCACTTGTCATGCGGCACCGGCTGATACCTCCCGCATGTCTCAATTCGCAACCGCCGCACCCCGGAATATCCAGGCATCCAAACAAGAGAAACAAACAATCCATCATCAATTTCAGCACTCGTCACGGTATAGCCCGAGGCCCGGGGACTTGTCAGATCTCATCAACTGGTTTTTTTTCCTTTCTTCCTTTCCCCTCTTGGCTATTCCACGAACCTGCCGAACCGAGGCCTCCCCGAGTGAACGCGGCGATCTCCACCGACAACCCGCTAGGTAATCGCAAGGTTTCTCACGAGACTTGCGGGGCCGGGCCTATTACTCCCGTCTTTTCGCCCGTTTGCTCATTTTAAGGCCGAGATAAAATCAAGAAACACCACCCACGATGTCACCGCCCTCCCGATGCTTTCCCCCGACCCCGTGGGCCACCGTAAGATATCACAGCCCTGGACCGCGAGCGGCCTTTCGGCCCCATCCGGGGCGCCCTGTATACGCCACGCGGGCTTGGGCCTCCATACTAGTGGGCGCACTCGAGTCTGAGGATGGTTGATCAGAGTGCGATTGATGGAAAGATGGAAGGATAGGGCGAGGATTGTGGGTGTCTGGGAGATTTTTGGTCCTATAATGAACTCTAGGGAAGCCGGGCTTATGGAATTTGTGTTACCGCAGACGAACACCCATACTTCCATTCATGGTCCACTAGGAATACTACAAAAAAGAGAATTCCAAAGGAAAAATGCAAGTACAAAATGAAACACAAGAATCGTGCAAAGGAGATCACAAAACACACCAAACCTAACCACCTAAAATATCAATTAATGCCAAGTGCCGCAGACGGAGTGTGATAATTCCCAGGATCCCTCACACCCACGTTACATCAAAAGTGCGAAAAACAAGAAAACGAGAAGGATTAGGGTCCGAAGGAAAAAAAGAAAGTGTGGAACCGAAACCAAGGGCAGGGGTGGGGATAGGTGGGTCCAGGGGTGAGCATAATTGATCTTGGGGAGAGCCTTTGAGTGGTAGAGGTTGTTCCTGAGGAGGCCCGGATGGACCAGAGGTAGGGGCACCAAGTGGAAGATTATGTATCATACTGCAGGTAACTCGACGTGTGGCGCCTCCGGGAGTGGGTGCCTTACTTCTCCGCGAGAAAGGCTCCCGCTAGCGACCGAGGCTGTCAATGATTGATGATTTGAGGTTCCGTATTCCGATAACAGCTTCACCACGCCCTCTCGCCCTCTAGTGGTAGCATATGACAGAGGTGTTCGGCTATTACTATCCGGATAATTCGGTGAAACATCGCCGTGCTCCAGAAGTAACTTCACCACACCCTCATCTCCCCTTGCGGCAGAAAATGATAGCAGTGTTCGGCCATCCTTACCCGATGAATTGGGATCGATATCCTTGTGTCCCAGAAGCAGCTTCACTGCACCTTGGTAAGTCCTCCAGGTAGGTAATAAGAGGGGTGCTCGGCCATTGATATCCGACGAATTGGGATTGACATACCCGCGGTTCAGAAGTGACTTCAATACACCCTCGTGTCCTCTCGATGCGGCGTACGATAGGGGAGTGCGGCCATTTGTTATCCGCCAAATCGGGATTGACATCCCCCCGCTCCAGAAACGGAATCACGACACTCTCACCCCCCAAAATGGCAGCGTATGATAGAGGTGTTCGGTCCTTACAATCCGGTGCATCTGGATTGACGCCTTCTCGTTCTAAAAGCGGCTTCGCTAGATCTTCGGGCCCCCACATAGCTGCATACGACAGCGGGGTAGGCCACTGCTATCCGATGAACTGGAATTGATACCCAGGCTTTCCACTAGTAGCTTCGCTACACCTTCATGTCCCCACGAAGCAGCATAGGAAAGCGGTGGCCGACCGTCGTTATCTGTTGAATTGGGATCGACATCCCCGCGTTCCAGAAATAACTTCACTGTACCCTCATGTCCCCCCGAAGCAGCATATGACAGCGGTGTTCGGCCATTGCAATCCATTGAATTGGGGTTGACATCCCGGTGCTCCAGAAACAGCTTTACGACACCTGCATGCCCTTTCCAGGAAGCGTATGATATGGGCGTTCAGTCGTTGCAATCCGAGGAATCAGGATTGACACCCCCGCGTCCTAAAAACGTCTTCACCAAATCCTCACGCCTCCACTTGACCGCATACGATAATGGTGTCTGGCCGTTGCTATCTGAAACGCTGGGATCGATATTCGGGCATTCCACGAGCAGTTTCACGACGCCTTCATGCCCCCGCGAGGCAGCATAGGATAGCGACGGCTGCCCTTTGATATCCAATGAATTGGGATTGATATCCCCGCGTTCTAAGAATAACTTCACCACACCACAATGCCCCCGAGGCAGCAGATGATAAGGGCGTCGACCACCGCTATCCGATGAATCGGGGACAGCACCCGGGCGCTCTAAAAAGCCCTTCGCCAAATCCTCGCCCCCACATGGCAGCATACAATAGTGGTGTTAGATCATTGCTATCCGGTCCACTAGGATCAATATTCCGGCATTCCACAAGTAGCTTCACTATACCCCCATGTCCCCCCAAGGCAGCATAGGATAGCGGTGGTCGGCCCTTCTTATCCAATAAATTAGGATCGACATCTTCACGCTTAAGAAGCAGCTTCGCCAGATCCTCTCGTCCGTTCCTTGAAGCATACGATAGGGGTGTTAGGCTATCGGGCATCAGCTCTAACATCCTGGCGTTCCAGAAGTAGCCCCACTGCGTGTTCATGTCCTCTCGAGACAGCAAGTGAAAGGGGTGTTCGGCCACTATTATCAGGTGAATTAAGATTAACATTTGGGTGCCGCAGAAGCAGCTCCACCGCTTTTTCGTTACCCCACTCAGCAGCAAACGAGAGGGCCGTGCGACCATCTTGAATTATAGCGTTGGGTTCGATATCTTCCTGCTCTAGAAATAGTTCCACCATGCTGTTTATTTCCGTACTCCACAACCCACATTAATGGTGTACCCCCGCCAGAGTCGCGGCCATTCACGTTCCAAATTTTGAGTTCAAGCATGCCAATCGCAATCTCTCTGTTCCCCCGAGGTGCGGTGTATTATTATGAAGTCCTGATCGGAGTGGAGGTATGATACTAAAGAGGAAGAAACGAATGTATATTCTGTATCGTAGTTGAAGCCCCTGCTCATTTTCTGAATCTTCCGGCACTGTGGTAGCTTAAATAGAAAACACAAGACTGCTCTACCTATACAAAAGACAATACAACTTTATCACATTCCCGATATCCAATGTGTTGTCTTCCTAATTCAGCGTACATATCCAGAAGATACTCCATTACCGAGTTCCAAGTTTTCCGAGGTTCCCGAGGTTCTTTCATCTGCCTGCAGATTCTAAAGGCCGAGAACAGACCGAGGGCTGAGGAGCAATGCCAACAAATAATCTTTCCACAATCCCTAGCGTCTAACATCATGAAACACAAAAGAAACAAAACTGCAAATAAGCTAAGAATATAACTAAGAAATATCTTGATCAGGGGACTTCCAGCCGTCCATGTGAGTGCCGGTGATTTTCAACACGGTGCAGTACAGCCCACTGATTCCCTGAACATCCTCTTGCCAGTAGCCCCTACGTATTTTCTTCCCCCAGAGAACAGCAGCAGAAACTTGGCCTTCGTATCCGTCAAGGAGTCTTAAGGCCAAAGCTTTCATAGACTCGGTCGATCCCCTGGCTGCATGGGCTCCCCAGAAGCAGGCGGTATTGGCCCTATTGAGGCTTGTCAGTACTGCTCGGACCGACATAGTTCAAATAGGTCAGACATATTTCGGCCATTGTCGAGTGAGGAGTTGAAAATAGCGTATGATGGTCCGCAGGATACTCCTGAAGTGTCAGATGCAAGAGACGGACCGCGGATGTCTTTTCGTCAACCGTAACAAGCCCCAAGGCGCAGCCCAGTACTGTCTGTATCGAGGGTACATTACGGTCGTTAAAGTCTCCCAATCCTAATTCTGCCCCGAGCGCATGGCACAGCTCCCACGATTGCAACGTCCGCTGGCAATGGGAAATCCACATCATGGCTTTCATTCCAAGTTCCGATTTGTTTCCACCCTGCTGCCTTATCCGATCGAGTGTCGTGCTGTATGTCCCCAGGGCCCTTGGTCATCCTATCAAGTGCCTGTCTCCTCTTGTGAATAGTCGGTTCTGCAAGTATTGCGTCCATATTGATGCGAACAAGAAGGAATCTAGTAATCCTCGTTAGCCCAATCCGCGGAATTCAACACACCGGGATAACACATGCATTCTCGATATCCTTTCCGGAATAACCTTGAGAATGTCAGATCGTGATTCATTGTCCATTACACCGGACTCCGGGTCTTTTCTCAGCCTCATCCTAAGGTACAACTCAATATCATACTCGCTGGGGCTTATCGACAAGAGTTCGGCAGTTCCAGGAAAATATTTCTGCACTTCGGCTCGTATGTGAAGTCTCCCAGTGAGGAATAGTCGAGAGTTTGGACACATCCGCACAATTTGCCGCAAAGATTCCCAAAGATCTGGCCGGTGCTCCAAGGGAAACTCGTCTAAAGCGTCAATACATATGAAGCTCTGTTTTTAAAGTTGAGAGAAACTTGGTGAGCATGTCGAGGATCTCGGGAGGCCGAGGTCCACAGCTGTCAACCTGTCTTTTTGCACGCTCAAACGCCTTCACTGTTTCATCTGGGATCTCTGCCAACGCTCCTACAACCTGCCTCAACACCGACCCCAATAAGGTGCTCGCAGATTGCAAATTCCGAGTGTTGTAGTCGCAGTACACATAAGTGACAGCCACCCCATCTCCCCCTACCGCCCCGGAAAGTGTATCTGACTCACCCTTTTATTTCCTACTAAGATCAGGCCCTCGAAGCCTTGAGGGGGGGGCTGCTAGTAAGAGTAATCATTGCTTTCCAATTGGTTGGCTTTTTTTTTTTTTTGGTGTTTCCCAGCGCATTGCTCAGATCTGACATTTTCCCCATCTTTTGTTGGCGTTTAAGTTATTGAGGTAGATTTGCTCTTGCTGTTAGATGTGGGGAGATACCCGTAGAGGAAGGGGGTTCGCATTAGATAGTTTTTGAATAGTTACTGCTCTCGGCTTTTACCTCCTAGTGTTTCGTGTCTGAGATAATAATTCAAGCAAGGCTATACCGCCTGTCTAACATTATAATGGGTTTGATAGTCCGAGAAAAATACTAAAAAGTTTCTGGCTCTCTTTGGCCCGCCGTCAATTGACCAGTTGGTTGACTCAAAATGAGTTTTCGAAAAATTGCTTTATTGGAGCTTGTCATTACGGCCAAGACACCCCCACATCGGCACTCCACGGGACGGTACTATAAGTAGAGCAGTAGCCTTGCTAGGCCAATTTATGCCCCACAACCAGTGGATGACATTTGCCCGAGAGTTTCTACTCTAGGATAAGCCTCAAGGCAATCGCATCATGGCAAATAGAGCTCCTTCAATAACCTACCTCCGACGGTTGAAGCTGCTAGACTCATATAATACCCTCACAACATCCTCTCTCTCGCTCATCGCAGCGTATGACTGCGGTTTTCGGCCATTGCTATTCAACGAATCGGGATTGCCATCCCCCCGTTCCAGAACCGGCTGCACTAGATGCCCTCAACCGGGTTTAGTACCGAATGGTAAGGGCGTTCGGCCAGTTAGATCTAGCGAATCTAGATTAACACCCCCGCGCTCAAGAAGTAGTTTCACTATCTCTTCATATCCTTGCGAAGCGGCATATGATAGAGGGTTTCGGCCCTTGCTATCCCAAGAATCGGGATTGACCTCACGATGTTGCAGAATGGGCTTCGCGACGCCTTCACGAGATTTCCAGGGAGGTGATAAGGGGGGTGTTTGGCAATCGCTATCCGATGCTTCAGGGTTGGTATCCGGCGTTCCGAAAAGCAGTTTCATTAGCTACTCACACCCGTAGACAGCAGAAAATAATAGGGGTGTTCGGTCCTTGCTATCCGTTGAATCGGGACTGACATTCTCTCGTCCCAGAACCAGTTTCACTACACCTTCATTGTTTCGAAGGATGGTAGTCACTATCGGAATGTGAGTGTAAGAGCGTACGAGTTCTCCAACTCGGTGAATTGAAACGAATGCGAAAGGAGTACCTTATATATATCGAATGAGGAAACTCAACAAAGCAAACCGGAGGTATGATTCATCCGGGTCGGAGGAACCTACAGATGAAGCATAAGGTCCTATGAGAAAGGGGAAATGTTCCACCATCGGCGGGATTTAGGTATGTCGAGAAGGGATTGGTAATGGAGAGAAAAGCGGAGAAATAAAAAACATGTCATCACTCGGTGGTGAATAACAATATAGTAGGAAAGACAACAGCTTCAACATCAATGTTCCCCCGAGGCGGCATATGGTAGGCGTGTTCAGCCATCGTTATCCGATGGATCGAGATTAGCACTTCCGCCTCCTAAGAACTGCTTCCTAGATCCTCCCGCCCCCACCTAGCAGTATACGATAGGGTGTTGGGCTATTACTATCTGGTAAATTGGGATCGATATTTGGGGTTTCTATAGGTAGCTTCGCTACACCTCTATGCCCCCCCGCGACAGTATATGATAGCATCAGTTGACCGCTGTTATCCGATGAACCAGTATTGATACCCCCACGTTCCGGAAGCAGCCCACCGTACTACACCTTCATGCCGTCTCGAGGCGGCATATGGTAGCGGTGTTTGGCCCTTACTATCCGATAAATCAGGATCAACATCCCCTGGTTCCAGGAATAGATGCGCTAGATCCTATCATTCTCGTTTGGCAGGATAGGTTAGGATAGTGGTGGTCGACCATTCTTATCCAGTGAATTGGAATTGACATCCCGCGCTCCACAAGCAGCTTTAATACACCCTTGTGTCCTCCCAAAACAGCAAGTAATAGGAGTGCTCGTCCCTTGTTATCTTGTGAATTGGGATTGAGATCCTTGCGTTCTAGGGGTAACTACACTAGGTCCTCTTTCCATCTGTAGCAGCAACGATAGAGGCGCTAGGCCACCGTTATCAACAGAATTGTGATTTGACATTGCCACCTCCAGAAGTAGCTTCTTTACACTTTTATTCCCTCACGAGACGGCAAGTGACAAAGGTTCTCGGCCATTATTTGTATAGCTAATCGGGCTTGAGATTACCCCGTCCCTAAAGCAGCTTCACCGCACCTTCATTCCCCACTCCGCGGCAAACGAGAATACTGTGCGACAATCTTGAATAATACCACTAGGTTCGATATAAAGAGCTTCACCATCCTGTCATCTCAGTATTCCACAGTCCACATCAATTTTGTCGCGTTCAGAATCACGGCCGTTCACGTCCCATATCTTCAGACCATTATGATACTGTACCTAAGTACTCGTACATTGATTCCTGTCCTGCCAAAACGCAGGATGAGTCACGCCCCACGCCTTTCCTCCATTCAATTCTACAGGCGCTATACCGACATTCGGGTACCGTTACCGGCCAGACCCATAGCGCTGCGCTTCGCTCCTCGAGTAGATTGAACGCCGAGAGTTCGGGCTTTTCTTCTTGCTCCGGCGGGGTTCCGGTAGCGAGTGCCGTGAAAGCCGGAATAATTGGACCGTGTGGCATGTCCTTGGACTCTCCTCTCTAAGCAGGGTCAACAAATTTTAATTTATTTCTTTCCGCCGTTGCGAGGGGGATGGCTAGTTTTTGATGTGTTTTTTTGCCCCTCTCTAGAACAGGGAATTCTGGACTTTGCAGCGCATAGTCTAGTTACCGGTATTCCAGTTTTTGCGGTGGTTTGCTGTATTTTGTTGCGGTCTTTTTTCTCGGGGCTCGATCGCGGCTGTTGGTCGGGCTGCGGTGTTTTGTTCGTGTTGCACCTGTAAGTTACAAGGGAGCCAGTGGCAAGCTCTCTCCCCCCAACTGTGCCATGATAGAAGCCATGTTGTGGGGAACGTACTGGTAGTTAGGTAGATAGCTGAGCAATTGAAGATCTAAAGTATCATACCGGTAGTCCAGACGGTAGGCCGGGAACACGGATACGCGTAGGAGTCCCCGGAATACACAGCTTTTAACCAAGGTTAACCTGAGCGAACACGTGACCATGCCAAGGTCCCTACAGATCCTCGGCACGGTTAGATCCGACAGGCAGTGCGCCTCAACAAGGCTTGGCATTCTCCCCAGTCTGACCAGCACGCATCTAACCATCGACATTCCTACCGAAATAACATACCCCCCGACACGACTTTGCGGCCCCAGGACCACCACCACTGGCATATTATCGTCGAATTTAAGAAAAGTTCTACGAAGCACCAGGAATGAGTCCTTGATGGCGAAGTGATCTGCGGCAGAAGGGGAAATCACGTCGTGGATGGAGTGTGGAGGAAAGATGTTGGAAGCGCGTCCCTTCCAAGAGCCCGGGCTACTGACTACCGGCATTAGTGAAGTACTGGAAGGAACGCACGCAACAGCGAACGAGCACCCGGCCTTCCGCCCAATGACTCCACACATGCACACGCAAGCGCCGATGCCCAACAAACTCGCATACTTCAACACAGCATCCACTGCTCTGCGCAATCCCTGGAGTGCCAACCGATCGATATGGCACCTGCGCTTGTCCCCCAATTCCTGCTATTGGGATTACTCTCACCCCTAGCAATAGATACACATTCTGCTGCTCACGGACAACGTGGCGGACCGCAATGGAGGATCTCAGGGCATAATCTACCAAACGCTCAGCTTAATATATCACGCTTTACCGGATTTCTCTTACTCGTACACGTTAGGGCGTTCTCATTGAAGCAGGTTGGGTTTGTGTGGGGCCCGGAGGTTACAACCCAAAAGTTCTTTTCAAATTCGTTATTGAGCATTTTCCGATAAATATCCTGATAGTGGGGGAATAGAAGACATCCGAGTTCCTAGACGATCCACCCATGACAGCAGTTTTTCCATTCTATGGAGGTGGTTATAGCGAGGTGCGGTGGTTCTGGTGTCGGTGCTCTATCAGTAGGTGAGCTTTCTCCTTCAGTAGGTAGAATTATACCGAGCCAGGCCAATCCGCATCCCCCAATATCTCCCGATAATGCCAGCTATCTGCTTCCACGTATCTTGAATGCAGCTGCACTCGTTGCCACCAAAAGCACTCCAGTTATACATCTCCTTTATCACCCTCAACCCGGTCGATACGCAGCTATGTGCTGCCGCAAGGCGATGATGGAGGACCGGATGAAAGGGGCTCCCGACTTGGTTCTTGTTAAATTCCCACGGCCTATTTTCCTCGAATGCTTTTGATGACACTCCGCGGCTCAATTTCGACAGTGCAACCAGTGTCAATCATCAGCCCGGGAATCACTATTACCTATTGGGCTACGCATAAGAGAATCTTGAGATGGGTACCGCAAACAACCCCCGCTCGGTTGCTACAGCATCATAGGACCGATTGATGGAAAGGCGTTCCAAGCACTCGTTATTTCCTGCCTTCAGGGAAACAATTAATTAAAGCTCATCACCTGTAGTAGTCTAGCAAATCAAAAATTGTAACTTTTACATGAACAGAGTTAAACACTTGTGCTGCTCGACCATTTATCGCTACAGAGTTGCGTGCTTCGCCGAAGATTCTACTCACTCCGTGGGACCCAAATCGTTACGGTTGACAGGACGATGATATACCGTATTTGTACTAGTACAGCACACTCTGCAGGTCCTGTACAAGTATCATACAATCCTACCACGGATCGTTGCAAGATAAAAACTAAACTATGCCTGTTATATTTCTTCCCAAGCGGTACATCATACTGTAGTTCTCTTTTTCCCGCTAACAGAATCCGCCGGAATGCTTCCCGGGCTGTGGACAAGCCCCAGCCTGCATCCTTCCTCCCTGACATACTGGGCTTTGTCTGTTTTTTTGTTTTCTTTTCTCTCCCAGAGATTCCCAGGAACCTCTATATCAGCGAACAAGTAGACGTCAAAGGCTTCACATCTAATCATTCGCGCGATCGGTGATCATATTTCTCGAAAGTCAATGGAGGTTTAAATCCCCGGTGACTTAAATTTTCTACGCTAACCCAGATGTGTGTGATGAAAGCCAGCGTTTACTGCCTTGGAATTTCCTCGCAGATCTTACCAAATTCAAGCAAGATATCATACCCCCGGGCCTCTCCCGGTGAAGTGGCTTCTTGTCGTGAACACGTGGCGAATTTCCACCGCTTTGACAAGACAAAATTGCTATTGTTACCATCTCAAGAGTCGTGGCTGATGAGAGTATGGTCGTGGGATTAAGAGAATAACGGCGATGATGGCGCAAAGCACCGCGAGCATAGTGATAAAAATGTGTAATAGCGTCAAAAGGATCTGCCTGTAGGACGGCCACTGTCGAATCCAATCCCCCACCGAGAGGTTACCACACCCCGTCGGCCAACACGGGGTTCCAAGTCTCAATACGGCAAACTACGGACCTGAGTTTGGTTTTCTGTCCCAAAGTCGATGATCCACCGCTCCGGACTCAATGCAACTGGAAGGGAAGTCCTCGAACACTCGTGCATTGCATCCGGGGGGCCGCCCTTTGTTTCCATAAGACTACCGGCAGCGGTTTTGAAGGCCATCCTATGATACCAATATTGGAGAAACTTTCGCTAATCTTTTAATATCCCGGGTGTAGGGGATTGTGGAAAGGCTATCAGGAGGTCCAGACGGAGCTACGTAGGGACAAAGATGGGGCCCAAGCACCTCGCAGTGTACTCGTACTAGCGCTCGTACTCGACCCTCACGGGGGATCGGTCTGGACACGGGGGCCGGTAACCCCGGCTGGCCCGCGCCGCCCGTCTCAGTTGGCAGGGAACTAGCGACTTTCATCCGAAAATACCCCCGCACTAGGGTTGAGTATGAGCGCCCACTGTCCCTTGCCAGTGCGGTTCCCGGGTCGTCTGACCGTTTTGATAGGATGCAACGGCCACCTGCTCTCCCGAACCGCGACCTGTAATGTAGGCACAGTACCGGTACTGCACCAGCAAATACCTGCAATCACCCACGGGGCCATTCTATCCGTTTCCGCCAAGAGCTACCAACGGCAGGGCCTAGGAGTCCTTGAAGCCCACAAGTCACGATGAGCATGGACTGAAAATCACAGTCACTCACTCGGATCAGTAGATGACCAGGGAACGGGGAAAATGAGATGTACACCGGTTTCGGTATGGGGCCGGTACGTTACTGCGAGTAAACTGGATGCACCTCTCCGAGCGGCACTAGCGGAAATTAATGTCCGTCCGCAACATCTGCCTACCGTATGCACAAACAACCGCGATGGTACGCCCTGTTTGGAGAAGCGCGCTTGCTTCTCATCGCTGCGATAAAATAATGGTAAATTACCTCTCGTACCCTCCTAACCCTTCCAGAAACACCCGTTCATAGGGAATATCCGATCTGAGTGATAGCCATCAACACAATACCCCTATAATACGAGAGTAGTTAGTGTTACCGCTGGCGACTAAACCCCCTGGGAGAGACGTTTTGGTCCTGACGAGAATAGTATACCGTGCTCGCTGGCGCAGGATCAGGGTTAGATCACTGTATCTTGCCCAGAGTGAGGCTATGGCTGTGCATTATGCTAGCAGTGAAGAGGATATGTCCCCGTATGATACTTTCAGCTTGGTGCATGTTTTTGTCCTCACGAATCATACTATATTACTAACTTGCATCTTCCGCTGTCCACTATGCCCCGCTAGACCAGATGAGATGCGGAAAATTTGGTCATCCGGGATAGCCAGATGTGGGTTTAGATTAGTGAGCGAGGAATGTACTACATTATATATCTGTACCAAGGCGGGGGGGGGAAGGTGACTATCCTTATTTCTGTCGCCGGGTTACAGTATCCATGGATACGGCAGAGCATGAAGGAATCCGGCTATGGACTTCTTGGCGGTGAACTGGGGATTCCCAGCGCCCCCTCAGGTCCAGTAACCCGCAAGCATGACGGATAACAGGTCATCGTCCGCCCCTTCTTTGGGTTCCTGGATGCCCAGGCTAAGGTCTAGGCGGAATATGTGCTTAGGCATCCCGTGTGATGTGGTGAAATCCGGTACTTGGGCGCCGTCCCCCGCTGTGTCCCCCGCCCTTAGTGTTATGCCGGCAAAACATATAATACCCCCACGGTGGCGAACAGCTTAATTTATCCGTCACTCGGGATGTGCATTCTGTTTTTGGGCTCACTTAACCTGGGGTCCCCCACACTTTGCTCATCTGAATAACTCCGCCATAATATAGACTTGGGGGGGGGGGCGATGGTTACTGCTCCGGTAATGCCTGCTTGGATGGTGCAATGGCCTCAAAGTTGTCATTATTCGGGGCAGCGGATGAAACCAGGGACATCGCTCCTGAGCCAGTGTCATGTTTGTAGACTTAATACCAGAAGCTCCTGCGGGGTTTATTCATTCGATTTTTTTTTGTTTTTTTCGTTCAGTTTTTAGGATAGGTATATACAAGCTAAATCATGAAATATCACCCTTGCTCTTGGTGCATTATCACTAGCCGTCCCCCGGTCCTGCAGCTTCACCGGCCGTCCCTTGCCATCGCCCTTAGTCCTACCCCCAAACATGGAATCCGCTGTCTCCCCCTGTAGGGCCCGCTGCCCGAGCTAAAGACGGCCGTCCTGAGATATCACTGCCGATGCATTGATGGAAAAGATAATACCGGTGGATTCTGGGGGGGGGTTGTCTGTGTAACGTACTGTACATTTGACTTGAAGGGCTTATATGGGATAACGATATTTATATTGTGATGAATGGATATTTCTACCGATATGATACTCTAGAAATACCACTAGAGAAAGAGGATATCGGTCCAAAATTAAAGTGAAAAAAAGGACAAGTAACGTAGAAACAAGATCGCAAAACACACGAAACATAACCAACATTAAATCATCGATTGGGGCCGAGCGCCGTAGATCACGTGAACTGATTCGCGAGAAAGCCCACACCCGTGGCATGATAAAAACGCAGAGCATAGGGGGGTGAATAACAAGAATGGGGTCAGGAGGGAAAGAAGAAGGGAAAAAAACCGGGGTTAAGGGCAAGGGGATGGTGAGGCTGGGATCGAGTGCGATTGATTCGATACCAGTAGAGGCTGTTTAAATTCTGGAGGTTGTTCTAGAGGTCTCGATGGGGCAGAATCGGAGATAGGGGCGGCAAGCGCAGGATCATCTGATGTATGTAGAGTAACACCTGCCACCTTGAGCGAATCTGTTACTTGCAAATGGAGATTCTGGGTTCCGGTGGGCGCCTTCGCTACACTCCCCGCATCCTCAGGGCACCATATGACAAGGGTGTTCGGCCATCGCTATCCGATGAATTGAGTTTGACGTTCCCGCATTCCAGAGATTTAATAGCTTCACTGCACCGCGCTCTCCTCTTATGACACCGAATTATAGGAGTGTTCTACCACCATTACCAGATGGATTGGGATTGAGATCCCCCGCGGTCGAGAAATAGCTTCCCTACGGGGTTGCCCCCCGAAATGGCAGCATACGATAGAGGCGTCTGACCACTGGCATCCAGTAAACCAGGATTGACATCCTCACGTTCCAGAAATTGCTTCACTACACCCCAAGCCCCCCAAATCGTGGCATATGATAGCGGTGGTCGACCACCGTTATCCGATAAATTGGGATCGACATCCCCGCGTGCTAGAAGCAGCTTCACTACGCCCTCATGTCCTCTCGAGGCAGCAAATGATAAAGGGGTCCGGCCGTTGATATCTAAAGAATTAGGGTTGACATCCTCGCATTCGAGAAATGACCCCACTATCCCCTCCGCCCCGGAAATAGCGGCGTATGATAGAGGGGTCCTACCACTGATGTCCGGTGAGTCGAGATCGACATCCCAGCATTCCAGAAGCAGCTTCACCACACGTTCATGTCCGCCCCAGGAAGCGTATGATAGGAGCGTTCGGCAGTTGCTATCCGGTGAATTGGGATCGACACCCCCGAGCGCTAAAAACACCGTCACTAGATCCTCTCGTCCCCACTCGGCGGCATACGATAAGGGTGTCCGGCCATTTCTATCCGGTGAATTGGGATCGACACCCCCGTGCGCTAAAAACCCCGTCACTAGATCCTCTCGTCCCCACTCGGCGGCATACGATAAGGGTGTCCGACCATTGCTATCCGATGAGCTAGGATCGATATCAGGACTTTCTACAAGCAGTTTAATTACACCTTCGTGCCCCCCGGAGGCAGCGTAGGATAGCGGTGATCGACCATTACGGTCCGATGAGTTGACACTAACATCCCCGCGTTCCAGAAATATCTTCACTACACCCCCATGCCCTCCCGAGGAAGCGAATGATAGAGGAGTCC